CTGAACTTGATTGACCGGGCTTTTTATGTTATATTTCATGAGGATCTAAGTTTCCTGGTGTTTCTTGTGTTTTGCAGATGTCTGTAGACTTGCAACGTGGAGAAATTCTTCCAATTCACGTTAATATTACATTTCCCTCTTTACCTTGTGATGGTTAGCAATTCACTTTCCTTCTTAGAAGCAACTTCTGTTTTCTTACTGATATCTTTTTATGTCATCTCTTGTGGTAATTCAATGCTCCCACTTTTCTCAAGGTTCTTTTATTCCACATATGCAGTTTTGAGTGTGGATGCAATTGACATGTCAGGAAAGCATGAAGTGGATCTGGATACAAACATATGGAAAGTAGGATAATTTCTTTTTTCATGTTTTTTTCCCCTTCTTTTCCTAGAAATTTTTTAAATTACTAAAGAGCTGTTATGAGCATCTTGGCATATGAGTCTTAGATGAACTAGCCATGTGTGCTCATGTCTGTATCCATTAATGGCATGATAGAAGCTGCTATTTGGCATGCTGCTAACCAGGATAGAGTTTTTACAGCTTCGCTTGAACAGTCATGGCCATATCACCGGCACTGAATATTTATCAGACCTTGTAGAGAAGGAACATGAAGCTCACAATCATGGTAACATCAATTTTCTGGCATGCTAGAAATTTATTTGCATTTTCAGGATCCAGTTTTGATTTATTACATAATTGTTTTATATGACCTTTATATAGCATGATTGTTTTTGCATCATTCTCTGTGAGAAGCATCTGGGAAACATGATTTTTTCGTGGTTTTATTAGAACTTGGTATCAAAGGTAATGATAAGAAATTTGAAACTAATAAACATATCAGATTCGGTCCAAATAACTAAGCTACTTTAGTTATTAACAAGTCTTATGTTTAGTATTGGTCATTAAGTTTTTTCCCTTAGCATAGCAAGTTAATTAATTTGGCTGATATCTCAAAACAACGTTAATCAGATCATGATAAAGATCATCACAAGGATTCCCATGAAGAAGAGCATACCCATGGCTTTGATGATGCTGCTGAAACTATGATCAAGAAGGTCAAGCAAGCATTGGCAAATGGAGAAGGATGTCGGGTATTGCTTTTCAACACCTGTATTATGTTCGTGAAATTGTTACTTTACACCTTGAAAGGTGGGAAAATTAAGTTTGCATATCTTCTGCAGGTTTATGGCGTTCTAGATGTCCAAAGGGTTGCTGGCAACTTTCATATTTCAGTTCATGGACTCAACATTTTTGTTGCTCAAATGGTCAGAGCTGTTCCTTTTCTTCTTTTTCTCAGTTTTCTTTTGTAACAAAATAGCCTTTGAAGCACTTGGTTTGTTTTTTTCACCTATCCAACTACAATGCTAAAATGAAAAAATTAAATTCTTTTCGTTTCCAGATCAGTATATGATCCAAACTTTAAATGAGCTGCTTGTAACTCCACTCTTGAAAGTTGCTGGATGCTGGTGGATGGGTGGCTGCATGCTTTGTTTTTACCCTTTTTTTAATTTCTCTTTTGGGTTGATGGGGAGTGTGCATCCATTCACATACAAAGTACTATCTTCTTACCCTGGAGAGTGCAGAAAACTATATAAAGGTCATAGTCCTTCTTAGATGTAGTGAGGACTGTACCTGGATTAGTTGGTTTGTATGATCAATTTAAACAGGGCATCTTTATATCAGTTTGTATTAAGTGGCTGTTTCTGAAGTATGTTGTTAGAAATTTCTGTGTTATATATGTTACATTGAGTTACTTTGCATTCACAGTTATCAATCAGGACTCTTTACTGTTTTCATTCAGATTTTTGATGGAGCTAAGCATGTCAATGTAAGTCATATTATCCATGACTTATCATTTGGACCACAATATCCTGGAATTCACAACCC